CAAATGACCATATAGTTTATGCAAATGACCATCGTTCTGTTGTACAACTTCTAGACAGCGGTCTGTGTTCAAATAGCGGCGCCAAAACTTCACAGACCGGCTACCGATATCGCGACCTGATAATTCTTATGTTTCATCATTCCACGTACGCGAGGTAAATTACTTATTTCGTTATACCAGCGTAAAGCATCCACCTATTGCTTTTGCTTTTCCGCAATAAATTTCATTCGATTCGATGCTTAAATGAAATGTTTTGCAAATGCACACCTGTGACATCAATGCACAGTTTTCGCGGCTGTGACCAAACGTGTCGATCTGCCATGCTACCTTAGGTACCGCGCATCTTCCGAATGTTTCCCTCAAAAATTGGTGGCCTACGGTCATCTGGTCAATTATTGCCACATAGTCAGTGGCAGCTTCGTCGTTTTGAACCCATCCTCCACCAACGAATTCCAGCCGTCCTAAGAAAACCGATCATGAAATCATCATGTTATTTGCTGCAAGTCCGAACCTTCATTCACGAGTGTTTTTACTTGTTGACGAATCGTTTCGTTTTTGATCTGCCACCACTTCTCAAAAAAGCTTGTTTCCGCATAAGAAAATCGTTTCTTTGGATCGTTAATCAGTGCAGCTGTGACCGAGTCCAAAATTCCGACAATACCAGCGTCTACAACGTCGTTGCCTTTCCCTAAAATTGAAAGTTTTAAACTTAAAAAATGGACTCCAAATTTCATCAGAGTAGGTAAAACCTCAGTCAAATCTCATTTCGGCACGGAGGCTGTTTTAAATGGTAAATAGGAATATCTTAGAAACGATTAAGAGGCATGTACAAAATATTACTTTACAGCAGTTTAATTTATTAAGTTTTATGTCTAAAGGTAAACGGCATTATGCAGGTGAGCACCGCTTTTATCGGTAAGTGCAAGTGACAAGTCCGGTTAACCGTGATGACCAACAACCGAACGAACCAATCGCGTCTCTGTAGTACTGACGTGTAGGAGAACGTTCCTAAGTTCATGCTGAAATACCCTATAAGCATATGAAGCGCAAGTTAAATGAAAAAAGTTCCTATAAATCCGTGAAATTTAAACTACTTATCTGGTTCATTTAATTTAACACAGAGGTAGATCTGGACCCACCAGAACTGAACACATTAACATCCGAACATAAAAGAAAAACGAAACTCTGCCATGGCCGGCCCCAAGCCCGAATCAGAAAGAAGGAAGATAGGAGACCATGGCAAGTCTCCGTAAAATTCAGCCACCTGCCACTCCTGATATTGACGCTATCGAAAATTATACCGGCTCGGTCGTCGCCCGGGTTACCAAGG